GTCTTCATCGCCATGTGCCTGTGGAAGAACCGGCAGCAGAGCGCCCTGCAGAGTGAGTGGGGGCCCGGCTCCCTTCCGCGGCGAAAATATTATCAGGAGTGGAATTAGTAACGCTCATGCCGCATTTTATGGGTGGGAAGCGCCTTCCTGTTAGGAGCCAGCTGGTATTTCTGTAGAGACTTGCACTTCTAAGTGTGCCCTAGGTGCAGATTTGGGTTTTTGAGAGTCTCCATTGCTTTTTGCACTGGTGCTCCCTGCCCTGCTGCATCCCCGGAGGGTCGTGCTGCAGTTTCACCCAGAGAATGGTGTGGGAAAGGCCTGGGCAAAGTTTCTGCAGCTTGTGTTTAACTTTGAGCCCCTGCCTAGGTCTCTGCTGATTGCAGAGGCAGAGCCTGTGTAATTGTAAGTACTTGTTAAATGTGGAGAGTTAAACCCTGGATCTCTCCTTTTCTTAGGTGTATCTGGAAAGAACAAATGTGCAGCACTAGGACAAGTCCCTTATTACCTCTCAGTCCCTGCACAGTGAGATGGCATTCAATGGCCAGGTCTGTCAGAGAGGTGTTAATCAGGCAAACCTGTTCATTAGCCCCTGGAGCAGGAGCTTTTCGAGGTGCTCTGCACCAACCAACAACCTGGTGCCAGCAGAATCTCTGGGCTGGCCTTTTCTGTTCCTTGTGCATAAATCAGCCTTGCTCTTGCCACGGCTTGTGGTTATTTTTAAATGTCCTTACTCTCTGACAGAGAGAAATGAAACAAAACTTCTTGCAAGATAAGATAGTGCCTTCAGCTGCAGCCCAGAGAGATTTTTGGGAAGCAGCTCATAGTAGATGGCAGAGGGGCTATCGATGATAAAAATGGCCCATTTTTAGGACACTCTCGTAGAGATTGATGTCAGCCAAGTCCTTCCAGACCAACATTCCTGGTCTGCTCTCCAGGATGTGTCTGTTTTCCATGTCTGTACTTGTATACTAAGCACTCAGATATCAGAGTTAGTTCACAAAAGCTGCAGGAAGACAAAATGAGCTTCTTTGTCTTTTAGGGACGCTCCTTTAGCTTCTCCTAAAGGCGCTTTCAGCAATAATGTCTTTTGCAGAATACGACCCCCCTGGGTATCTGTACCAGGGGGCGGATATCAACGGGCAGATGATCGAGTACACGACCCTGCCCGGGACGAGCCGCGTCAACGGCAGCATCCACGGGAGCTTCCTCGGCAACGGCCTCGGCAACGGCTGCCCCCATGTCCACCACAAAGTCGCCAATGGAGTCAACGGGATCATGAATGGAGGAGCAGGACTGTACCCAGGGCACACCAGCTCCCTGCCCAGGACACACGTGGACTATGAACACCCCCACCGCCTCGTGAACGTAAGCTCCTGCACCGGGTGGGAGGCTCAGCGCAGACCTTGGGGTTTATTCAGGGGCTGTGCAAGCAGATTTAATTCGGGTGGGGGAATGCTCATCCGTTGATAACAGCCAGTTCCACTGAATCCTTCATCCCAGAGGAAGCAACTGGGCTGATATTTGTGATACAAACATCATGGTTTTCATTTGAGGATATCAGATGACAGCAAGAATTCCACTTACTCTGGGAAATCTGCCTCTACCCTCCTCCTAACAGCATGTAAGCTCTGAGAATGCCTCAGTGCTGGGCTGAGATCCTTTGCTCGTACATATGGTATTTCTCAATCTCCAAGTTAAATAGATTTAATTATAGCTGCTTATTCTGCAGCTTTATGGATCACCCGTTTTTCCCCCACCTGTTTCAGATCTGTAACTCTGAGCAATGCTATTAATTATGGCAAAGCACGAATGGAGCAGGAGGTTCCATGGAATGAAGTGCCCCATACATCTTGAACTGCAGCAGTGCAATAATGCTGCTGCTTTTTTCTTTTTTTTGCAGTCCCCTGTTTGTGACTGTTGAGACAGGCTCGTTTTTTGTTTTGAAATTGAAAATAAAATTAAAAACTAATTTCAGTCTGCGATCCAGCCTTTGTATGCTGTGGAAAAATACTTCATTTGCTGAAACGTGTCCCGTTTCCAAGAGAGAATAATGATTTCATTATTGTCTATGGAAACAGATGGCTTGCATTCAAACTTACTAAACTTACTCAAAACTGTGAACATTGCCCAGGAAAACTGAAAGAAAAAGTTCAAAAGTCTGAATAACCTATGCTGTTTCTGGAGAAAAAAAATGGGCCTATTGTTTGTGTTGGTAATTGAGCACAAGCACTTCTTTTTATTGAACAACAAATTAGCACTTGCACAGTAGTTGCCACTTCAGTTCCCTCCAGTCTCAGCCCAGACCTGTCAGTTTTTCACCTGATTCTGTCCTTGGCCTGCCAGAAGTGCCCATTTTTGGCTGTTTTCAAGAGCACCCGAGGCCCAAACTGGGTTTTTTGGACCTGTCCAACCTCCCAGTGGGTGAAACTCTCCAGAAGTCTCCAAGCCCCCAGGGAGAGAACATTTGTGGTGCTCGAAAGCTCGCCTGTGAGAAAGCCTGGGGGCTTGCATTGATGTTTTGTCCCTCCTATTTTTATTTTTTGGGGGGCTGGGGGAAAGAAGGAAATACATGTGTGGTGACAGAGGTCTCGGTGCTTGGAGCTCCTCCGTGCCACAAGCTGTCCACACAACGCCGCTGTCTGTAGGTGACGGGGATGAGTTTTTTGTTCCCCACACTCCTCGTTGTAGAAAGTTTGAGTCACAGGATCTCTGCCCACAGAGAAGGCCCTGGACTGGCACGTGGGCGAGGCAGCGCAGGGGAACAGGATGTTCTCATCCTCGTTAGGCCGCTCTTCATTGTTTCAGTGATTGGGCTAAATGAGGAAGGGAGAAGCTGGCCAGGATGGCAATCAAGACTAATTAGGCATTTCCTCAGTGCTCCCCATCCTTCAAAAACTTCAGGATAAGCCCTGTTTGTGCAAAAACAGGGGTTGTTAGAAGTTCCCTACCACTTGGACTGCCAAAAGCCAGGTGAGTCTTCCCGGCCCGGCTCCCTGGAGCCCGGCACAGCGGCCTGGCTCCGCGCGGCTCCCGCATCACTGTCCGCCTGGTCCCTAACAATGAGGTATGTGTTAATCTGGGCATTTCGACTGGCTTGTAATGGCCCCCTCAGCCAAAACCAACAACACAAAATCCCTCGCACCCCGAGTCATTGCTGGCTGAGGAATTACCCCATCTGTACAAATACGAAACGGCTCAAAAATCAGTGTAGCGAAGTAAACTGATCTAATCGGAGTAATTACAGGAAAGTGGGATGGGTTTGTGTGTGACATCAGCCCTCCAAATTTAATCCCCTGTCTCCCCAAACGAGCCCGGTGTGCTAACGAACGGCAATTCGTTTTCGTGTCTGTCATCAGCGTTAAAAATAAACATATTTACAGTGTGTTTATTAAATTAAACCTCAGCATATTAAGCTGAAAACAGACCAGGGAAATGACCACATACTTGTCTAAGCTGCAGTTATTTACTTTTCCCTGACACACACGCTGGCAAAGCCCTCCCCTGGCCTTTGGACAATCGCTCAGTGTTGCCGTGCCGTGTTTGGCCCAGAGCGGGGCATTGATAAGGTGGCTGGACTGGGAAAACCAAGTCAAGGAGCTGAGCTGCCTCCTCAGCCCCTCTCTTAGATGTTCTGATAGTGATCTGATTTCTAAGGATTTACTGTTAATCCTTCCTGCTGCAGGGTGGCGGGATGTACACGGCCGTGCCGCAGGCTGACCCCTCGGAGTGCATCAGCTGCCGGAATTGCCGGAACAACAACAGGTGAGGAATGGTCTGCACCAAGGCAGGACCTGCACCAAGGCAGGACCTGCACCAAGGCAGGACCTGCACCAAGGCAGGACCTGCCCCGAGAGCAGCCCTCGCTCTGCGTGCTGTGGTGAAGCTGGGACTGACAAAAGCCAGGAACTGGAGTTCTTGCCCAGAGCACGAGGAGCTGCATGTCAGGGGGTGGCTCGGAGAACAGTTGGGAATTGTCCGTGGGATGGCATAAAACAAGCTGTTAAACCCCCCAGAGCTCACTTTGCTCAACATGCTCCTCCGAGGCTCTCTAGGAAGCAAAGCAGGTTGAGCACTGGATTTTTTAAAAATCCTTATTTCCTGTGTTTTCCTCAGCTTTGAGATAACAAGATCATTCCATGTGGAGTTTGTCAAATCAGATTTAATTGGTCTTCTGCATTTTACACTTCCTGCCATTCCCTTAAGAGCACCGACCAACTGCAGTTGCCCCTTTTCCTTCACAATGCTATTCTTTGTAAAACATGGGATTTGGGGTTCTTCAAGGCCTTCAGGAGCAGTTTGACCAGCCATTGTCAGTGTGGGATAGGATTTTTTCATGGGAAAAAGGATTCTTGTATAGAATAAGGGAAAATCTGTCTTTTATGTTGTATCTGGGAGTCAGGAACCTAATGAAAATCATTAGGTTTTTCGCTTTTGGAAGTTTTAATGAATATTCTTCCAGGCTTCTGACTAAATCTCTGGTTATTTTAATGACTATAAATAGGACTGAAAGTCAGACAAGCTGGGCTACTCTGACTGGTAAATTCTGGGCTTTTTTTTCAATCATACTTTGATTTTTCTGTATTGTTAAAATGCTCAGCTGCCTTTAGGTGTACATCTGGAGAAGCTGAGTTGAAATGAATCATTGAATCATTGAATATTCTGAGTTGGACCCACAAATAGCGTCGAGTCCAACCCCTGTTGGACAAATAAGCTGTTGTTGAAGGCAAAAATCGTGTTCACTTTATTTTCACGGGTTTACTTTTTAAATGCCACTTATAATAGGCCTTAAATCCTTCCCCCCTCCATAAATGTGTGCGTGATAGTGTAATGTTGACGAGCTGCTGCTTGCACGTGGAGCTGGGCATGCTTTGCCTGGACCAGTGTCCCGACAGGTCTCCAGGGAAGCCCAGCACGTTCCCTCACACACCAGTTGTGTGTTTTCCAGCAGGCTCTGCAGCAGCTCTCACCAGGCTGTCTGTGACTCGCCGTAATTTGGAACATGCCATATGTGTTACGCTGTAATTAAGAGCTTGCGTTCCAGTTTTAAGCACATTTAATTTTTTACTTGCTCCCTTTTTTTTTCCCCCTAAGAAAGCAGGGAGTGGGTTCCATCCTCTGCAACTGCACTGCTCCTCCCAGACGGGTCATCAGCGGGGCCTGAACTTTGAGTTTTCACATCCCCCTTCTATATTTGACTGCTTGATAGAGAAACAACTTGTCCCTTACAGCTGCCTTTCCCCGGAGGGGACCATTAACCTCTGCTCTGGCGCTGGGGGAATGGGAGGAGGACATGGGAGAGGGGAATGGGGACAGACCAGAACGTGCCTGAGCATTCCACCAGGGAGCTGGGTGTATGGCCAGGGCGAGGAGGAGGAGGAGGAGGAAGGCCTGGTGTGTTAGTGCAGTCATGTCAGCAGGCTTTGGCAAGTGGGGTTTTGGGGCTGGAGCCTTTTCCTCATTTTTATTTAACCTCATGGCTCAGGTAAGGGCTGTTCCCTCCACCTGGGCTCCTGTTGGTGGAAAGAGAACCTGTTCCTTGTCCCCACCCTGGGATCACTGCACCTTTTGTGCTGGAAAAGGCAATTCCCTCTGCAGCCCAGGAGGTTCAGGTGGCAGTACCTGTAGCAGGGCAATGTCTCCAGCTCAGGAGCATTGTGGGTGCACGTGGCCTCGGCACCACAAATTCCTCACTGACCCATTTCCACTGGTTTGGGTTGAATTTAGCAGTTATTTGAGTTGTGACCATGTGCAAATGAATCCTAGAGGTTCAACGTATTTCATAGCTGTTTTCAGCAATAGCCATCTCGGAGCAGGTTTTATTATTCCAGTGCTGAAATCCCTGGATCTTCTGTTTAAATTAGCACTTTATCCCTCCTAACTGCTCGTGGAGGCTTGCCAGAGGGAGAAGCTGCTGAAACCTGGAGACCTGCTTTGCTTTTGTGGACAAAGCCTGTGGTTGACAGGATTGAGAACTGATCTTTTTTTCTTCCCTGGTGCTTTTGTGTTAAAACTCTCGAGATACCTGGTGGCTGCAGAGGAATTTACACTTTTGCAGATCCCTCTTTGCAAATCCACTGTGTTTTGATCAGAAATGCGAAATGCATGTTTCAGATGTATCAGTTTGTTTTTCCGGTGTTTTCATCTAAATTATGCTTTGTTTAGGTTGTGGTTTGGTAGGGGTTTAGCACTGAGAATTGATAGAAAATGTGTTTTCTGCAGCAGGGATTTTACACCACTCTTCCTGCACACTCTGCTCAGGATATCCCCATGGCTAGTTTCCATCAGAGTGTGGTTATTTAAGCTTAAAAAGCTGAACTGCTGTCTGGAAACATCCTTCAAGCCCATACAATAATACAGAGAAATACACCAACCTCTGTATCTTTAAGAAGAACCCCCAGAAACATGTAAACCCAAACATTTTAAATGGGTTTCTCCGAGCTTTTTTTTCCAAATAATAAGTGAGTGCAGTCAAAACCTCTGCGGAGAGAAAGGCAAACTAATAAATGGATTTGTTTGAAGACCAGATGTGTTTCATGTGGATTCTTCAGTGGCTTCTGTGGTATTTTGGTACTTGGAATAATGATTTTGGAGGCAGTTAGGGGAGCAGAAGGACAAAATAGGAGAGAGAAGGTTGAAAATGAAGCTTGGTGCTGCTCCATCCTCAATGGCTTTTGGGAGGGGAGCAGGCTCTGGAGGGATGCCCCTTGTCCCTTGATTTGGCTTTGCACATGAAGCATCTGCAGGAGGGGAAACTCTCACCAGTGCCTCCTCTAGGAAGTTTATTTGTGTTGTTGTTGGATGTTTTGTTGCTCTTTCAGTTTGGGCAAAACTGATCACGGGTTTTGTTCAGGTTTCAGGCGTGAATTGAAGCTCCTGTAGGGCAGGTCCCTGCAGTGGGATGTTTTTAAGCGTTGCACTGACCTTTTTAAAGGCATAAAAGTGGTTTCTGGGACTTGGGCAGGACCTTGCTGTGACTGCCAAGCTTCATGTATCCCAGTTTTAAACCTGTCTGAGCTCAGTGCTGAGGTGCTCAGGGCTCAGCTGCTGTTGGAGGTGGCTCTGCTGGCTGCTGCCCTGGCACTGCTGACATTCCAGTCCATATTCCCCTCCTCTTCCAGCCATATTTCATCAGCCCTGCTCAGTTTTGGGCCAGAGTCACTGTGGAGCAGCACACCAAGCCAGCACCCAAGCAGCCAGGTCCCAGGGAGCAATTTTTATACTTCCAGATGCCAGGCTCAGGCAGCCCCAGGGATAACCTACAGCAAATGCACTGGGCTGGTCCCTGTCAGCAGAGCAGGCAAGGGATGGATTTACACTTGGTAGGAAAGAAGAGGAGGATGCTTAGAGTTGTACCTGTATCAGCACATAAAAACCTGAAGCCTGTTCAGCCTTTGTGGGAGCGTTTTGGAGGATCTCTGGTGGGTGTGAACGCTCTCCACCCTTATTTCCATGCTTTTATCCGTGGATCCATCTCTGTCCTGCGCCGCACAACAAGGAAGAGTTTTGGGGGGTAGTTTCCCAAAGTTCGTGGCAGCTGTACAAGTAAACCTTTTCCTTTTGGGGTAATTATGGTTTTGTCTAAAACCACACTGAAGTGGAATATTGGGGGAGGGGCTTTCTTATGTAGGAATTATGTATATAAATGTTCCCTGAGGCCACGTTGTCCACGTTGCAAACACTGAGGCGTTTTCCCTGCCTGCTGCAGTGGTACATGTATCAAAGTCCTGCTCCTTTTTGGTTAAAGCTTAAATACCTCAGCTGTAACAGTTGATTCACCACTTTAGCTTCGATTCCACAGCCTTACAAACATGTTACAGGGCCACAACCTGACTTGCACAGCAGAAGAGGGCGTTAAATTTATAATCTTGCATCTATTTTTTTAATTTGTGTTTGCTCTGATAGCACTTAGTATTAATTTTCCAAAGTGCTTAAGTTTGCTGCTCGCATTTCAAAATTTGAGCTCTTTATCTTGGCAGCAAAAATGTGTTTTATGGGGTTGCTTTGATGGAGAAGTGGACTCACAAGTCAGGTCATGGGGTCACAATCGATGGGGGAAAGAACTGAGCGTGTTTCGAGTGTTTTCAGCTGTCTGCTGGGAGAAAAAAAAACCCACTCGGTGCTTTTCTTAACGTCAGGATTGCTCCAAAAATATATTTAAAACTGATTTTACTTTTGACACGTGGTAAAGCACTTAAAAGTTGCATTTTCTCAAGATGAGGGGTGGGGGGGAGAAAGAAACCACTCTGAGTAACTGCGGCCTCTGTCCCGCCCGCAGGTGCTTCACCAAAACCAACGGCACCTTCGGCAGCGCCGCCCTGCCCGTGGTGCCCCTGGGAGCCCCTTTCCAGCAGGACGGTGTGGAGATGAAGCCCCTGAGCCCCCACGTCATGGTGGCCATGTGCTTGGCCTCTGCTGTCCCGGAGTGCAGTGCCCGGCTGGAGGAGGACGGCAAGGAGGGCTCGGAGCATCCCTCCCCCCAGCACCCCTGCTGCCAGGAGGGCGTGGGCCGGCTCTCCGTGGACTGCATGGACGGTGAGGCAACCCCGGGGAGGAGAGCACCTGGCTGTGGGGCCGGGAGTATTCTGTAGGACAGCTGTAGGGTGCTTAATTGATCGTGGAGAAGCTGGTAATTAAGCCCACAAAAGAGCTGGCTCTTTGAGGGAGGTTAAGCGTCCCCGCCTTGTGCCTGGTCCTGTCATGTCCTTGTGATTGATGCCTCTAAACGGGGCTCATCCAGCACCTAACGAGGCTGTGACTGATTGATGCTGCCCCCACAGGGCACCAGTGGGCTCTGACACTGCTGAAAAGCTGCCTAATGGAGTTTTCCTTAATGAGCAGGCATTCCTGAGGGCCCAGAGCCATCCTGGAGGCAGGAACAGGCGCAGGGAGGGAGCTGGGCTGACCTCACCAGTGTGAGCTGTTCCATAGCTCTGCCAGTGCCAGGACAGAGCCGATGCCCTGTGCTTGTGCCTGGTACAGTGGGAATGACCCTGAGCCCAAAGAGCATCACCCACTGGAATTAGGAATTTTGGGTGTGTGTGTGTCTGTTGAGCTGACAGAGAGTATCTGCTGAAAAAAACCACCACCAACCCCCCGCCCTGCTCTTGCTTCGCAGGCGACAGCTGCGTGCACTCGGAAACATCGAACCACGTTCTGAGCTGGAGTCCCCTCATTCTGCAGCCTGCTTCCAAGGACTGTAAGGAAAAACCTGGATGGAGTTCATCCGGAGTCACCTTAAACGGTTCTGGGGACCTTCGGCAGCTCCAGCTGCGGGAAACCTGAGGAAGTGACCGTTGTCCCCACTAAACGCCAGGAACTGCCAGTGTCGCTGAGAGGGAGTGACGGGGGGATGTTAATTATAACAGAGAGAGTCACTATTTATTTTTTGTAGTAGTGTCATATGAATGTATCTTGGTTTTCAAAATGGTTGCCTTTTTATATTATTTATGCCTTGAAACCCCTTTTTTTTTTTTTGTTATTTTTTTTTTTTCTCCCCTCACACGCCGCGAAACTAGCCCTGGTTATGTGTATAAAAAAGAATTGTAATAATATAAAGAAGGAGGATGGGAAATGTGGAGTGTGTTTCCGTGGCATGTTACCAGTGTGAGAAGCACTTCCGAGGAGCCCGGGACAGGGATTTAAGCAGGTCTGATGTGGTGACCAATGGCTGCCAACTCCCTGGCACTCAAACCATCCTTTCCATGAACACATCCCATCCTCTTTTGGTTTCTCTGGGAAGATCTCAATGAGAAAATGAGAAAATAAATAAGAAAAATGAGCCTCAGCTGAGTCCGTCCAGCGCAGCTTGAAGCAGAGCTTGGGTCGGTGACTGTGTCTTCAGATGCTTGATAACCCTTCTGTCTGCAGAAGTACAGGTGGAAATCCAGCCTGTCTCACCTTGCCCCTCACAGAAGACAAAATCCAGTCCTACTCTTGGTTTGAGGGAGTACTGACAGCTTGGATAGCTCTGAAATGAAAGCAGTGGTGTCGGAGCAGCTCCCACCGGCCCCGCGCGTGGCTGTCAGGAACCCACCCGCCCCGGACACAGCACGATGGAGGTGTTGCAACCTTAACTGCAGGGTTTGGGTAGGTTTTTTTTTCTTTTTCCTTTCCAAATTTAATCCCAGAAAATGAAACAACCTTGTGCTTGTAAAGCACTCCCTCCCCCACACAACTCAGGAGCGCAGGATCCCAGAAATGAGGTGCATGCCTTACGGTTACGGCTGCCCCAGGGGGACGCCTGTGCAGCACCTTTGCACAGAGCAGCATGTTTCTGACCAGGCTGGAAAAGAAGGAGGCTGTGCTGGCTTGGCTGTGGCTGCCCTGGGGACACGCCTGTGCAGCACCTTTGCACAGAGCAGCATGTTTCTGGCCAGGCTGGAAAAGAAGGAGGCTGTGCTGGCCTGGCTGTGGCTGCTCCAAACCCCTCGGGGACCTCAGGGCTACAGGTGCAGCTTCACCAGTCGCGGGGTTTGGGGAGCGATGCCTGTGCGAGAAGGGAGCCCTTGAGATCTGCTTTGGCAGCGGTGTCTCCGTGGGCTGTTCCAGGTGTTGGGGTGGGCTTTTTCCTTTTCATGGAATCCCAGAAGGGTTTGGGTTGGAAAGGACCTTAAAGCTCATCTCATTCCAACCCCCTGCCATGGGACACCTTCCACTAGCCCAGGTTTCTCCAAGCCCTGTCCAACCTGGCCTTGGACACTTCCAGGGATGGGGCAGCCTCAGCTTCTCTGGGCAACCTGTGACAGGACCTCACCACCCTCCCAGGGAAGAATTTCTTCCTGATATCCAATCTAACCCTGCCCTCTGGCAGTGGGAAAACATTCCCCCTTGTCCTGTCACTATCTGCCTGCCTGTATAAAAAGTTCCTCCCCCTTTTATAAGCCCCCTTCAGGTACCAGAAGGTTGCAATGAGCTCTTCCCAAAGCCTTGCCTTCTGTCTTCTCTTTTTTCTCTTTTGTCTTTTCTCCCCTCCCCTCCCTCCCCTCTCCTCTTGCATTATTTATGGTTGTATTTATTTTTTTACCTTTTTTTTTTAGGGTTTTGGATCCTCCCAGCCGGAGCTGCCTTATTCTGAAGTTCCCTGCAAACCCTGGACCTTACACCCATGGGTTTTGACTGGCATGTACCCTGGAGCCACCACAGAGCCCCCTCCTCCCCCTTTGTTTATCTCCTCCTTGCAGTCTGGACTTTCCCTTCACAGGACCTGCTGTGAGGCTTTCCCCTTTTCCGATGGAGAGGTTGGAGTTCACCTCTGGCTGCTTCGTCCTCCCCGAACACTGAGATTTAACCACGGTTTTAAACGACCTTGCTTAAATCCCCCCCCTGTATCGTGGGTGTGTTGGATAAAGACACTCTGTTTTCCAGAGAATCTGTAATATCCCTTTGAAATCTTATGTATTTGGAAACAATGCTGTTTTGCAGGGCTTTGGGGTGGGGTGTGTATTTTTGGGGGTGATGCTGCTCTTTGGCCAGCATGGGGGTTGATGCTCTGTGGGCACTGATTTGAGGTGTCACTCGATACTTCCCAATGGATAATTAACCAAATATAGGACAAATGGCCCAACATGCTCTTGTTTCTACAGACACCAAAAGATGAGGGGGTTGAGGAAGGCTGGGAAGTGCCTGACACTTTCCTTAGACCCTGCCTCCCTCCATGCTTTCATGTGGGGAAAAACCATCACCAGTCACTGTTTTTGTCCTCTTGTGGTTTGGCCCGAAAATGGGGAGCTTGGGGTGAAGATGAGGCCCCTTCCCTGCCCCCCAAATCTTCGTGGCTGTTTTTGCACCACAGAAAATTCAGCACAGTCCCAGAGCAGCATCCCCATCCAACGCCAGCCCTGGGCCTGAGGGCAGCACTTCAACCCTCAGGGATTTTTTCTGCCATCGGTGAGAAACTATTTATCGTAGCCTAAATATTTATTTTAGCTCCAGCGGTAACTGCAGGCCCGAGGCTGAGCCAGAGGGGCTTTCTCCGGGTGCAGCTCTCGGAGCCAGCTGCCTCCCAGCCTGACGTGACACAGGTGGGTGGGCGCTGCCGTCCCCTGGTGTGGGACGAGGGGAGCAAAGGGAAATAAAGGGGGAAAAGCCGGAGTGGTCACGGCGTCGCCGTCGCGGTGATGGTGACATCAGCTGGTGGGTCATCAGTGGTGCCTGGCGGTGCCGAGGGCGGCTCTGCAAGGGGTGGGAGACCCCCGGTGCCACCAGGTGTCACCGGGGCGGGTGGCTCAGCCCTCGGCTCGCCCCAGGGTGCGGGTACCTGCTGCTGTGCTGGGGGCAGGCACTTCT